ACGGTAGTGCACACCTGTATTTCCAGCTACTTGGAAGGCTGAGGCAGGAGGATTGCCTGAGCCCAGCAGGGCGAGGCTGTGATGGCCGGGAGCATGCTATTGCACTCCAGTCTGGGTGACAGAGTGAGACTCCAACTCAAAAAAAGAACTATTCAAGCTAGTTATGGTTACTCATACCTGTAATTCCTGCACTTTGGGAGGCCAAGGCAAGAGAATTGTTTGAGCCTGTGTTCAGTATCAGCCTGAGCAACATAGTGAGACCTCGTCTCTACAAAAAATAAAAATTAGCTCGGCGTGGTGTCACGCACCTATAGTCCCAGCTACCTGGGAGGCCAGGCAGAAAGATCGCCTGAGCCCAGGAGCTCAAGTCTGCAGTGAGCTGTGATCGTGTCAATGCACTCCAGCCTGGGTGACAGAGTAAGACTAGGCTCAAATTAAAAAATGAAAAATAAACTATTCAATAGGGCTTTTTATTCTGACTTCTTGAAGGCTTAACTGTGCTGTTCTGCGCTGTGACTGCCGCTATGGTTTATTTGCACTTTTATTAAACCTCTGGCGATGGGCCATCTTGGGAGACTGGTGTGATGCTTTCAGGACTAGTGTCCATAGGACAGTTTCGTGAGTAACTAACTTATAAGCAAAAACCGTACCTAATTTTAACACATAGTTCATAAATTGAATTATCTAACAGGAGTAAACCTCTCTGTCCTCTGTGTACATTGCCAAATACCTTTCCCAAGGGCCAGTACATTGCTGGTGGGAAGGCAAACTGTTATAAATCCCTGTAAATTCTTGTTTCCATGCTATGTTTCCTAGACTGGTCTCGAACTCCCTGGCTCAAGCATTCTCCCACCTCACCCTCCCAAAGTGCTAGAATTACATGCTTTAGCCACCATGCCCAGTCAATCATTTACTTTTTTAGTTTTTTTGTTTTTGTTTTTCGTTTTGTTTTGTTTTTGAACATTTGGAAGTTCTACCTTTTTGTGAATCAGTTCTTTAAAGTATTTCCTTTTGTAGTTCCCCCCCACCCAGGTTTTTAAGCTTAGAAAGCCCTTATTTAAAGCTTTATCCAGACACTTCATAAATAGTAACTTCTTGGTTTTGTTTTGTTTGGTTGGTTTTTTTTGTTACTGCCAATGTTAACTCTTAACCCCTCTGGAAGATATTAATTTCTCTCACTGTCCTCCCTCCAAAAATAAAAATTAAAAGCATGTTTTGAAGCACTATTTTCTGAATAATTTTTTCTCCCAAAATTAATATATTATGCCTGTGTAGTCAGTAATAATTTATATAGAAAAGTAATTTTTCTCCATTTGCCAAATTAGTAAATGGAGATAAATAGAACTTTATTAGGGATCAGTTACTTTGGCCTGTGTGTCAGTATTAAATTTCAAAATAGTAGATGAGACAAGCATATATTGTGATATTATTGTGACAAAAACCATAAAATTTGTAAGATGGCTTACATTTAATTTGATATTGTGATGAAATTTTTTTTCCCTTGAAAGTTATGGGGCAGATGACTAGAAAGAGCAAGGGACTGGAGTAGTGACATTTGACAATTGAAATAAAGAAAATTCATCATCAGTGTTACCAACTGATAGAAGGCACTCTGCAAACATTACCAAGTTTAATTCTTAGAATCGACTTTACATATGAGAAAATTCAGCCTGAGTAGTTACTTCCCTGAGTCTGATAACTGGGAAGGATATAGCCAGGACCACTTCCAGGACTGTTTATCACCAGACCTGCTCCAGTTGTGTTCCATGGAGATGGACTTGGGGTTCCCCAATGGGCCTTCCTTTTTTTATTTTTTTGAGTTGGGGTTTCACTCTGTCTCCCAGGTTGATGTGCAGTGGCATGATCACGGCTCACTGTAGCCTCGACCTCCCATCTCAGCCTTCTGAGTAGCTGGGACTGCAGGTGCACACCACCATACCAGGCTAGTTTTCTTATTTTTTGTAGAGACAAGGTCTCGCTATGTTGCCCAGTCTGATCTCAAACTCCTGGATTCAAACAGTCCTCTCACCTCTGCCTCCAAAGTGCTGGGATTACAGACATGAGCCACCACACCCAGCATCGCAATGGGCCTTGTTTTTTATAAGGCCATCTGTACATTACCCAAGAGGGAGAGTCACCGCGCCACTCTGACATCTATGGTGTAAATGTGGGGGTGGATTTAAGAACCACATCGCTAAGGGTTTATAAGCAAGTGGCACATTTGAATTCTCTCCTACAAGACTGAACTTGGGTGCATTGAAGGTGAAGAAATTTTCCTCTCTGCTGTGAGAACATGGGTGCTGAGGGATCCCCCATTGTGGGTCAGAAGGTAAGCCCCTCTTATCTGGTCACACCCCTTGGCTTGGCCAAATGCACATAAGCCTGTGTTTTCTCAGACAAGTTCACATGGAGATTTCTCTGCAAGTTCACATGGAGATTTCAGAACAATCCCTCTACTGCAAGTTGCATTTTCAGGCAGCGATGGTTTGTTTCTGAAGCCCAAGTGGTCCCGTTTTTGAGCCGGTGTCCCTCTACAGAGACAAGCAATCGCTTGTTCCCCACACAGGGCCTGTGCCCTCTGGTTTACCAGCTTTGCAGCTTCCTCGGCTGATCCCTTCTCAAGTCTCCCGGGAGCCACTTTTGTGGCAGATTCCTCAAGGAGGGGCAGCGGGGGCCACTTGGCATGGCCTGCCCATCTCCCACGTTAGCAGCAATTTGCAAACTGCTCTCAGAGAGACCCGAGCCCAGAACCCAGCCCAAGCTGCCTGCTCCTGTCCCCACCATTGTCTGCAGGATCCTTCGCCTTTTCCCAGCTGACCTTCCTGCAAGTGGGGAGATGTGAAAAGTTAGACACAAAACTGGTTTCTGCAGTGTGCTGGGGAGCTTTCTTATACAGAAAGGAAGGAAATACCTCTGTGGGATTTTATTCTGTACCCCCCCTTCATCCAAAAAATACAAAGAGACTCTGTGTCTTTAATGCGAATGTCGGCTTTAAATCTTTTAGGTTTGGATTAACTCTGCAAAAGAAGAAAAAAATCTGACAGGCTTTCAGATATGACGCAGAAAAACTTTTTTCCCCTCAATTCATGTTGTTCATTTGTAAAGCCAAAGGCTGGTGGGCTGAATAGTGGGGCGCCAGTCCCTCCTCCGCTCATACTTAGCATCACAATGGTCAGAATTAGCAGCCCTGAGTCCCTTCCACTTCTGTCCTGTTCCACCAGCGAACGTTTCATACAAGGTGGCAAAGGCAAGAATAAATCCTTCTTCTCTTGCCCCCAAATTAAAACACATTAAAAGTAAGCCAAGGAGATGTGGGATTTCCAGTTATGTGACTTAGACTCTTATCTTACCTCTCTACCCACGCACCAGAAAGAAAAAGAAATCAATTTTTTACAGTTGTTACCTTACTAGAAGGCTTCCTGGAATCTAAGGAAAACCTCCTGGCTTGGTAGACATTTCCTATTACATAGTTATTGTTGGTTTTCACCATTGAGAATGTCAGCAAACATGTCAAAGATCATGTTTTGCTTATTAAATAAAGTGACTTTTATGAGAATATTTTTCATCTTGTTGGGGTCTGGAATATGGGTGCTGGTCCATGGTACCCACGTGACAAAATTTATTTTCTGAAATTTTTTGTAATAGCCACACTTTTTTTGTTTTGAAAGTGTTCAGGGCTATTTTGTTCTACAGAGCGAAAAACCTTGGTAACTTTGAACTGGCAGTCTGTATCGATAAGCCCACATTCATGGAGAAAAAGTTTACACAGCAGTTCCTGGGCCTTAGTTGAGAGTCAAAATGAATAGATGATCTGAAACATAATTTAAGAGTAGTTATCTTTATATTTGATAGGAATTGATTGGTTAGGACTTTTTGTGTGTGATTTTGAAGTTGTCTAGAAAAATTAAGTTCCAGATAATTTTTAATTCTTGAACCGTATCTGATTAAGAAAAAAAATTTCTGTGATTTTTAGTAGAATGTAGATGTGGATGCGTTAGTTGGGTCCTTCCTAATGGAATTATAATGATGCCTTTATGGATTTAAATAGTGGTACAGATTTACTCTTGAGAAACAGACTAAGAGAAGTGAAACCAAAATATTTCTTTTGGTTGTATTGTACAACACTATTCCTTTTACTTCTTTGCAATCTTATTATATTACAAAGGTTTTTTTTTATCATAATTGCAGTCAACTAATAGAATTTATTACATTTTTAATCACAGGATCATTTTCTTTACATTCCAAAAGGCTCTGTTATAGCAATTTGGGATTTAATACAAAGGAATTATTAAAGTTATTTTTAATACACTTTTATTTGGGTTTTACATGCCCAATATTTGGTCTGACTTTAGCAATAATGAGTATGCACCAATACAAGTTATATAAATCATGGAACAAAAATTAAGATTATTTCCACCTAATATTAGCCAGAAATAATCAAATTGTTGTTTTAATAGGTATTTTAATTTGATTATACTATATTCATGATTCATCTGGATGATTTTTTAATATCCTGTAATTTTACAAAAGTAAAGTTAATTTTCATTTGCCGGAAATAGTAAACTTAGTTTGTAACTATAATTTATTGTACATGTTATATGTTATAAGAGAATTTAATCTGGAGTATATTTTAAGTTTGCTCAAAAAGATTGATTTTTATATCCTAAGTTATAAAAAACACAAAAAGTTATAAAATACACAAAGTTTATTGCTTTGTATATTGACCACAATAATAAAAATTTCATATAAAAATATGAAAAGATTTAGTATGTGATAAAACTTTGCTCTCTTAGCTACTTGAGAGAAAAAGAAATAGTTAATGCATATTTTAACATCTTTAGCTTTGAATTCAGATATCTCATAAGCCTGAATTCAAAGTTATTGTATACTCTCTTATAGAATGATATCCATAAAATTATTTTACTTAAAATTATATAAAAACTAAATGCGAGTGTTGTACTTGGTTTTTAAAGTCACGCTTTCTCTAACGGTTGACACAGGCAGCCATGTTGTTCAGCTCCGGAGTCTTTTGGATGGGCCTGCTGTTCATCCCTGTGGCCTCGCTGCTCCTGGACGTGGTGTACAAGGTGTACGTATAACCCTCAGCGGACACACAGAAATGTGGATGCGTGTATGTGGGCCCTAAGATCTCCCGAGTTGTAATATCAGCTCACACATATAGAGTTGGCATGATAGGAACAGGCCATACTGATTAATTTTAAATAAATGGAGAATTCACTTTAGGAAATAGAAAACTAAATGAGTTTAAAAAGCCAAATGAGAAGCAAAGCAGGTCGTTTCAATTAGCATCAGAGAAAAGTGCATTGCATTGGAGAGAGTTATGTTACAGTGTACTTTTTGTAGAAATCAGTCCCAGAACCCGTACAAGGTAGAAGAAAAAAGTTTACTGTCCCCAAACACATTTTTAGTAGTTATAAAAAGAAATGTTTTGCTTGCCTGATTCTAAACCCATATAAAATAGAGACTGAAAGAAACGAAACCTTTGCTGATTTTTCTCAAGGATTATAGTTTGAAAATGTTATCTCTTCCCCCAAAAAAGTTACCACTTAAGTTAATTACGTGATGTTTCCTTAATGACTATGAGAGTTTTAATTACAAACTTAAACCATTTATTTTTAAGACTGTTGTTCCTATATTATTGCTCAAAATGACTCATTTTTTAGATTCTGTTGAAAAACTGCTTGTACTCTGGTTTCTGTTGTACTTATCAACAGCGTGATAAGAAGCCAGACATCTAGTTTTAAAATAAACTCTTCACACACATCTTCCATGCAAATGTGTGTGTGTGTGTGTGTGTGTGTGTGGTTTGTTTTTGCAGTATCAAGAGGACTGCTTTTAAGACATTAGTTGATGAGGTGCAGGAGCTGGAAGCAAAGTCTCAAGACCCAGGAGCAGTTGTGCTTGGAAAAAGGTAAAAGACACTCGGACTATGATCCTTTCCACGTGAACTTTGAATTTAACTTTTACTAGTAGTTGGAAATAAGTGGTAAAACTTGTACTATCAGCTACTGTGGAGTTGGCGGCATCATTGGCAGGTTTGGGAATCAGAGACATGTGGATTCAAATACAGTCTGTCATTTTCTAAGCTGTGGGTGGCCTTCACCAAGTTGCTTAATACTACCGAGCCTCAATTTCCCCATCCATAAAATGGTTAGATATAAGAAATGAATAAACTATTGTAAAGCACATAGCATTATACCTGATCTTTAATAAGCATTCAATCAATGGCAGGTACAAATATTATTGTGTTATTAAACTGAAAGGGAAGAAACGACTTTTTGCTTGAAGTGGTATTACAATAAAATAGTATATTATCAAAATCATAGCTTGACATAAGGCACAGTAGTTATTAGAAACTGACATGATAGATAGATAGATAGATAGATAGATAGACAGACAGACAGACAGATAGGTGAAGCGAGTTGTGTTTTCCAAGTTCTCTTCCTCACCACCTAGCCCCAAGAATAGCAAAGTTAGAAAGCTAATCAAATTCACTAAAGTCACAAAGCATTGTAGAAAATGAATAGAAATTAGTCAGTTGCACAGTTGTGAAGACAGCAGCAGGAACTCATTTTATTTTTCCTCTCTTCAGTCATACTAAAGTGAGCTGAAGTTTGACCTGAGCCATAGGACGTGTTTTGCCTTGGTGAATGTCACCTTCACCATGTTTCACTGTTGTTCCTCAGCTTGACGTGGTGGCATAGATGTAGGGCTGGGGACTCAAACTGAGACCTGGCTTCTAGCCCTCACCCCTCTCATGGGAACCTCACCTAGGTTGTGCCTCTCATTTGAAAATAACAGCACAGACCTCTGTTGAGCGCTTACTGTGGACCAGGTGCTCCACTCGAGTGTCATATGTGCTGTCCCACCAGCTCCCTGAAACAACTCTTTGCCGGTCCGTCATCTCCATGTTTTCCAGATGAGGAAACAGGCTCCAAGAGATGAAGTACCCAAGTTTATGAGTGATGGAGCTGGGCCTGGAGCCCATGCTGACTGACTCCAGAGCTCCTGCCCTGAGACATTTACTTTTCTGCCTCCTTGCTACTTTATCAAGAATATAATAGAGGCTGGGTACAGTGGCTCATGTGAGGGCCGTAATCTCAGCACTTTGGGAGCCTGGGGCAGAAGGACTGCTTGAGCCTAGGAGTTTGAGATCAACCTGGGCAACATAGCAGGACCTCATCTCTACAAATAATTAAAAAATTAACTAGGCATGGTGGCATATACCTGTAGTCCCAGCTACTCAGGATGCTGAGGCAAAAGGATAGCCTGCACCAAGGAGGTCAAGGCTGGGGTGAACTTTGATGGTGCCACTGCACTCAAGCCTGGACAACAGAGCGAGACCCTATCTCAAAAAAAGAAAGGGGGAGGGAGGGAGGCAGGGGACCCTGTTTCAAAGAAAGAAAGATCTTGTGAGTTGATCATCCCCAATTTTTTTCAATCTTCACTGAATGCTACTGTTAAACTTAAGTTGTATATAAAATGCAAGAATGTCAGAAAATTGGCATTGTATGAAGATTAATATTTATAATTATTTCTCTCATCTTTTTTATTTTCAAAGATTTAAACATCTTTGTTAAAGTAATTAGCCATTGTTAGAAATTAGATAAATTCTATTAAATGTTAGAAAACATATTTAATCAATCTAAGTATATTGCTTTTGAGCCATAGCTTATGGTAGAAATCAATTTAAGACTAAAATGTTGGGAGAATCACTCAAACCTTACTTCTGAAAGTTTAAACTTTACCCAAAATCTCAGAATAAGGAATTGTGGATACTGTGGGCTCCTTGGAGACAGAGCAATTATTTTTTGATAGGATTGGCTTGTGTTTAAGCAATGCATTTAATAGGCAGGCAAATATAATCATGAGACTCATAATTGTGTGTATTGCTTACTGTAGACCTTAGCCAGCATATCATCATCTGCCATTAGGAACTAGAATTGTAGCCTGAAATCTTCAGGTCAGTCCTCACTAATTGGTCCATCACCACTATATGGCCCACAGCCTTAGCATAAAGCAAGAGAGTGGGGCAGATGAGGTCCCAGAGGACTGAGTCGTGTGGATGGTGATGGTGCCTGTGGACAGGGACGGTGCACTCACTAGCCTTTCTCCGTATTGTTTATCCTAATGAAAAGCAATTCGAATATTGCCCCAGAACTAACAGAAAAGAACTTCTATTCCTCTCGGTTTTCACACTGGGTTTTACATAAGCATTACATAAATACCTTGGCGAGGGGAAGGACAGAGGGCTCTAGCCCTAGCTCACCCCCATCACTGTGAAGATGGGTCTACCTGACATTTGGAAGGAAGAATGACAGATCATGAAACACGTCTCCTGCAGAGCAGAGATGAGGCCTGCTACATTCATAGTTTTTCTCCTTGCCTCCACAGCTACCTCTGGCAGGGTAGTTATCACATGCTATATGTGAAACACTTGGTATATGAATAGTTATTTACTTTCTCGAGATTCATTTTAATGAGTCAACCAAAATAGCTTGCCAACCCAATATACAGACAAATGCAAATTTACTGTGCTTCAAAGAGCACTGAAAATTCCTTGAGATGACACATCCCAACACATCCCACAACTGTAAATGGGTTCCACCAACAATCACATTTTTTAGTGTTCCTAAGTGAAATATTATTTTAAATATGGTGTCTTTCCACTCACCTCCACCAAATATCTAAGCTGCAACATTTTAGTGGGTTTGGAAATAAAGTTACAAGATTTAAGTGGTAGTTATATAATTTCATTAAATGAACTCAGAATTTGCATAGCTTGGAATATAAATGAAAGACCAGACAAGATTGAGTAAAACTGCTAGCCAAGAATTGTGAATAAGATGGAGTACGATGTGGTTTTAATGAGAGAAGTTATCTTAGTTTTGTGTGTGTGTGTGTGTGTGTCTTCTCACACTGTTAAGCTGTCCAACAAAAATTGAACTTATACTATATGTATTAATGTTATCAATATATTTTCTAGTGTGACTTGATAGTAACATCAGTACCCATAAACATCAATGGCACACAATTGCATAAATTTTGAAATGATGAATAATTCCCCCACCTAGAAGGTGACTAGAGAAATACAAGGTCATCACCACTATGTATTCAGCACCCTCCTGTGAACGGCATGTATACTCTGGAGAGGAGACTCTGCTCCATATTAAAGCAAGAACTTCAAAGTAGCTAAGGAAAAACAAAACAAAATAACAAAAACCTAGTCATTTTCTCAGTAAAGCGGCAGAATGAGGGCATTCTAAATTAAACTCGTGTACAGTGCTAGACATCTCACACTGAGCTATTGTTGAATATAAACCAAGGCATCCAAAATGATCCGTACAGAGTACCTTTTGTTTTGTGATTATTGCTGTTCTCGTTGTCTTTTAAACAATAAATTCCTTAGGATCTGAGGGATAGGGGTAGGAAGGATCAGCATCTGTTAAGTGCTTCCTAAGTGTCAGTCAGTGGGTTGACAGCTCCCGGAACCCTCGCAGTCTGCCTGAGAGTGAAGTATTGTCCTCCTGTCACACGTGAGGTGACCGAGAAAGGTTTGCCTACAGTGACCCAGCTAATAAGTAGCAGACTCAGAATTAAACCAAAGTAAGACTCCAAAGCCCACACTCCCTCCTGAGGAATATGCTACCTTCCCAAGAAAGAGACTTTTCATATTGCTTAAATAAATAAAAATAAAAAACACTGGACATTAACTTGGTGTAATAGACTTATGTGTGAACTATTACAAAACAAAATTATGTTGTCTTATAGATTTCAATTGCCATAATATGAAAGACAAAATTCTCATATCTGCCTTCTTAGCACTTGGATGTTGTAATATTAAAGTATAATGCACTGGGAAAAGGCCGCCTACAACCAGGGAAATGTCATGTTTTGGGGAAAAGCAGCGTGATGATGCATGGCCCTTCTCCGGTCTTCTGTAGTTTTAAGCCCCCGAGACACCGGGCACACCACGTACAATGCTCTGCTAAGGAAATCAGCCCACCAGCTACTCAAACTACCCACTCCCTCAAAGCTATTACATATTTTAGTGTCCCTCAGGGTCCCAGAGACTGTAATGTTAGATTATTTAAAGAGTAGAATAAGAAAAGTGAACCCTTAAAAATGCCCCTTTCTCCTTCCTCACTATCTGTTTATTTCACTGATAAAAACAAGTTTTACAACTGTTTGCAGAACTGCTGGAGTTTTAGATTAATTCATTGTCTTGCTTTCATGTAACTAATTCCCAATTATCATAAAATTTGTCTAATACGGACCAGTTAATATCCCTAGACTTTTAAAAAATGTGTGTGGAAGATTACTACAAATGTCAGCCTTTCTAAATATTTTTTCTTAGTTTTTGCCTCAATATTTGTATAATTCATTTACACAATGAGTTCATTTTGCAGAGAAATCTCTCTTTGTTTTATATGTGATAAAGATTGTTCCATTTCAGAGTCTCAAAAAATTGGCAAAATACAGAACTGACATGACATACAGCACTTTAGCTAAGGCTTTTATAGTGGGAAAAACACAAGATGGAAATGTTTCAACTGAATCTGTTCCAGTTATTAAAACAAAATTGCATAAACATTTGCTGTAACACATGTGGATTAATTATTTGCTTCTCACGCTCATTATGTTGTTTGATATCAAAGCAAAATTTTATAAATCAACCAATGAAGAAATGGCATGATTGGAAAGATTGATGGTGTTTATAAGTACATTTCAGAATTATTACTCAAATTCATGTACCCGACAAAGATTTGAGTTCCTACTGTGTGAAGCATTGTTCTATGGGCAGTGGGAGTGGGGAGATGCATTATTTCTTGCAATGTGCTTTTAGGAGTTAGCATAATTATCTGGATTTATATCTATAGAGACAATTATTCTAAACATGCATTGAAAAAAATGCTTTCCTTTTTATTTTACCTAGCATAATTATTTCCTGAAAATTGTTTATTTTAAAATGAAATTAAGGAACATACTTTCTATCATATTAGAGTGGTAATGGAATTTTTCTAATTAAAAAACCTATGAAACTTCTTCTTTGTATAATTTTAGTTAATTTAAGTTTTATTAATATTTTTAACTAAAAAATATTTTGCACAAAAATATCTGCAAAGTGTAAAAAAAGATACATAATAATTAAGGGGCTTTTTTAAATTCTAAAAATGCCATCCTTAGCATCTATGCAGTAAGTTAAACAAGTTTTTAGATGCAAATAACACTACTGATGATTTTGTGTTTTTTCCTACCAATTGTGTTGTACCAGTTCTGTGTTGCCATTTGGCTTAAATATAACTGGGGGGAGGGGAAGAAGTGTTACTTGTTACGAGGAGGGAGACGAATGGGGACAAAAGTCCTCCTAACTGTGGGAGGGAAATGGCCTGAAAAGTGTCTGTCTAAATACTTGAAATCTCATTTGCTATCTGAGAAAATGGGGCAAAAAGAATCACCAGGCTACAGATTTCTCAAGCAACCTTTTGTTTAAGTCTGACTCTCTGGTGGTCCTGTGGGCACGCGGGGGTCTCTGCCAAGTTGATAATTCATCTCACACGTTTGCACCTGCCCCACAGCCTCACCGAGCGGGCGCAACTGCTCAAGAACGTCTTTAAGAAGAACCATGTGAACTTGTACCGGTCTGAATCGCTGCAGCAAAACCTGCTCCGTAAGTATCTGAGCTCTTGTTTTAAGCAAATTCTCTGCCATTCCTGGATCGTGGCATTTATCAAAGCCGTATTTTGTCTTCAGGGATATTTAATGACTTAAAATTAACACCTAAAACAAGTTTTGCATATTTGCAACCTGTAAGTAACAGAGAATCCATGGGTCACAGTTGGGTCACTTTTAACAGAAGAGATAGCATTTTGAAATCTTACTGTTTCACTGGAAAAAAAACAATATTTCCACATTCCTCGGTTCCTTAAATCTATAGGAAAAAAAAACAGTAAAATAAATCTTAGCTCTTAAAAGCTGCCCCTGTCTTGTTATCTTTTCTACTTAAATAACTTTGTAAGAGCGTTCCAGCTTTCGGACAGCACAAGGAAACATATATTTTCCCTTCAAAAATATTTATGTACATTTAGAGTTGTAAGAAATTATTAGGTATTGCACCCTCTTAACATTTCAAGGATTTAAAAAAGAATATAAAATATAAGGCCCTGTAGTAAGTGTATTTGTGTTAGTAATATATCTTTTGTTTCATGTTGTTTCCACATGTAATTTATTTGCACTTATATATACTCATGTTTAATGCTTTTGCTCTCTCTGCTTCAAGAGGCCTTTTCTAAAGATGTGACCCCCTTGGGGCTTACTTCTTACCCTCATGTCCCTGCCAACCACATCGGGGCATCAGAGGGTTTATTTGTAGATGCTGAAAGCCAAGGGGAATGTCCTCTGAAGCCAAGAGGCCACTTTCCAACATTAGCAGCTAGTTGTGTTATTGCCTCCTCTTTGCTTTTTTGAGTTGGCAAATCATAATTGCATAGATTCAGGAGTACAGTGTGATGTTTTTGATAGATGTATATACAGCTGGCGCTTTGCATCCATGGGTGCCACATCCCTGGGTTCATCCAACCATAGGTGGAAAATATGGGGGGGGGGGAATGAAGTTCGCAGAGGTCCAAAAAGCAAACCTTGAATTTGCTGTGCACTGAATACTATGTTGAATCTTTGAACTGATGTGAAGGCTTTGTGTTAAGGATTATTAGTCGTCTAGAGATTATTTGAGTATGTGGGAGCATGTGTGGAGGTTATATGCAAATAGTACACCATTTTATAGAAGAGGTTGGAGCATCCTGGATTTTGGTATTCAAGGGGGTCCTACCTGAGCCCCAATCCCCACCACTACACAATATGTCCATGGAACAAATACACGTGTACCCCTGAATCTAAAAAAAATTTTCTTTGAGTTGGAGTCTCACTCCATCGCCCAGGAACTATATGTTATAGAATGATTGAACCAAGCTAATTACCATTTGCTCACCTCATCTACATGACGTTTTCCTGCCCTCTCACCCACTTGACCCACATGGATCCCACCTGATTAGCCATCCTTGCCCTCTGCAGAACTGGGGAAACAGAAATGAGGAAAATGGGAGTTGATTTACTGAACAGAGGGATAAGAGGGCTTGAGGGTGCCTACTCAGGCTTCTGGGGAACAGGAGTCATGAAATCCACACTGGTAAACTATGACCATCCCACCCTTTTTCATTCAAGTCTGTGTCTTTTTTCGGACGTGAAAAATGAGCATCTCCAGGGTCTTGAAGGTAGGAGGAATGCCTGAGTTTCCCAGCCTGAAAAGTGAATACTCAAAACTCAGAATGGCAGCGATTCCTGGCACCTTTGGGATGATGATTTCTGTGTTATCATTCACTTACAGATGGATATGCTTTCTCTCAAGATGAAAATGGGATTGTTTCACAGTCTGAAGTGATTCGGGCATATGATACCACGAAACAGAGGCCGGATGAGTGGTGACAGGGAGGAGCTGAGAGGCAGGCTCTGCTCTGTCTCGAAGGAGAGCTACCCAGTTGTCACCAGGCTCAGCTGACCAGTTCCAGTCTGGCTCATGGAGAGGGAGGGCGAATCTAAGCTCATCTTGTTGATGAACATTTCAGATTCATGTATATGATAGACATAAGCACTGTGCCACTGTACTGTAACACCATCTCCTTCCGGATTTTAAAAGTATTTGCTAAATCTTTGTAAACAGAATGGAAAATGACCTGGTATCTTGCCAGAATGCTTTCGTAAACAGAGAATAGGTCAGTACCCTATGCCACTGTCCTGGGGCTGTAACTGACTCTCTGTTTATTGGCTATCCCACAAGGTGACCAACCATGAAAAAAAATTCTAAAATGGTATTTAGCTAAAGGGACTCTTGATATCCAAACTTAGATTCCAGGATATGCTGAAACAAACCAGCGTTCTTTAAGGAACTGACTCATGTTACTGAGCAAAATTTCTAAACAAGGCGTTAATAAGCGTTTGTGTCAAAAATTGTCTTGATAAATGTTTGCCAAAGAAGTTCAGTAAGTGTATTTCTAGTTCAGTAGTCATTTGCCCGGAAATTTAAGAGAAAGTTTACTTCCAGTTCTGCTGTAAGATCTGCATGCTTGACTTTTCAAATGTAAGAGTGATTTGCAAAAATGAATATTTCAAGGCATTTGCTACTACAATCTGTGATGTTGCACCTTTGGCCTTACAAATGCTTCTTTGTTGTTTGTCTTGTTTATTTGTTAAAGTTAGAGGATACAAGTGTTAATGTGACTCTGTCATTATGATAACTGATTTTTTTAAATTGTATTTATGTCTCAGTCGTTTCTGATGAAGTTTCATCATAATTTAGATTTTTCTAAATATCTGGCTTGTGCCGTGGGTTAAGTCATGTCATTTTTGTCTTAAAGTTTTCCCTCTTCCGAAAATTACCCTTACATATTTATGTGGGATTCCCAAAGCCTCTGTCAAGATGTTTAAAATAACACGTCAGATAAACGCATGGGCTTTTGTATTGTACATAGGCTCAGCTTCTGTATCGTGGTCTGGTTCTTACTGTTGTTCCCACTTGAGATGCCTGCTGTCATGTAGCACATCCAGTGTTATGGTGACTGTCCCTATACATAAGGCTGAAAATTACTTCACAGTTCACGTGTCAAGTAGTTCCCAAAATTAGTCACACGCTGCTTATTGGGACAAAGAAGTAATACATTTTCCCCATTTAAAAATACCTATGTTATGCAAGCCTGTAACTTTACATTCAAAGAACACTTTTCATCACAAGTACGTTTCATTACATTTTTAAATGTGTGTTTCATTATTTTCAACATCTCCAAGACATCTCCTGAAAATGCCTATTTTGCTACCAAAAATAACTGGTGAAGGAGCTGTTTAAAAACTACAACCAGTTTTCTACACTATTTTTTAAATAATACTTTCATTTAAAGAAAAAAGGAATTATAGTTCTCAGATACACTTCAGAGATTGAAGCAAACTATTTGCCTTTTATTCAAAAGCCTGTTTGCCTTTAAGTGGACTTACCAGCAAAATAGGTAGAACTTTCTCTTGTTTAAAAAAAAAAAGGAACTAGAATTGAGAAGAGAGGTGATTTTTTTGAATTGCCCCTTGAGTTTAATAATTTCACATTCTTTTCACCCTTTTTCTCAATCTAGATTAAAATTAGGAGATATATCATGTTCTTCTCTGTATTTTAGCTTTTTAGTGACCAGTATGCCTCTACATTTTTCTACGAATAAGAGGTTATAACACACATTTATAACTCTTAACCTAAAGGGAACAAGGAGTTCGCATATTTTACTTCCCAAACCTTCTCATTCAGGGTTCAGATTAAGAGAATCATGAGTCAGACATCTGGTGAAACTACAGGTATTTGAGTCTAAGATCATCTTCAAAATTCTGAAATCACAGACTTTACCCATCTCCTGAATGGATGTTCAGAGAGGCTTCTCCTGGGCCTCGTGGTGGTGATGGTTGAGGTCAAACCACACACAAAAAAAATGAGAACACAAGACCGAAGTACATTCTTCCAGAAAAGCGTTTTGTGGCAATTACAGAGAAGGGCTTGCCCTAATCTCATCAGTGACTTCCTTCTGCAAAGCGTTTAATATAAAAACCTTATGAATATAATAGAACTGGATTTTCTAACCTAACCAAGAAAACTGTAAGTTTTATTGTTATCTTGAAACATGAGTTGTGTCCATGGAACTCTTCAACATGAGAAGAATGTTCATGGTTAATAATTTACTTTGTGACATCATGATCTAAAATGTGTCTAACTTATGCCTTTTGTCCCATGGTCCTATTTTTGAATTATCAACATTAAGTCAATCTCTTTGCTTCTTGGGTGGGAGTAGGGGCATGGGACAGAGCGTGAGCTCCTTGGCAAAACTTATGACATTGCAGTTGCGTGACTTTATAGTGTTAACTTAAAGAAAACACTCTAATTTTATTTTAACCTTTCTTAATTGGAAAAAAAGTCACATGGTTTTACCATGATTAAAATAAAGTGACTTTTAACGTGTGTTTTCTGAAATAAAAGACATGAACTCTTCAATTAAAAAGTTCCTCATAGGGACTCCGGCAAATGCTAGCACGGTTGCTTTACAATGTTTACAATAAGTAGAAAATACTACTTATAGTAGAAAATCCTCATTTATTTGGCATTGAAAAGCTGGAAGTCGCTTCTTTAATGTTGAATATACACAGTGGTATGGAGCATGGACTTTCTAAATGTTTTATACATATACATATAAAAATATATTGGTGTCTCACACCCAGAAAGATGCTATATTGTAGAAATTATTAGCAAGAAAAGTGTTTCTCAGGAACGTAGTAAATTTTAAATGATGTATGTACTTCCTGTCTCGCCCACCACCACCTCTGTGCTCTAACTCAAGACTGTTCCCGTAGTGTTGGCTCAGATGGTGGAAAACGTTTTCTAATCAAGTCAGGGGAATGTGTATTCTGCTAAATAATGTTAACCATTTACATGAATTGTACGGTCATTAAATGGAATCAGTGATTCCTCTTTAATTTCCGGGGGGGGGAGATGAATTATAGAAATCAATCAGCATTTATTCTGATCATTAAATTTTATATTTTAATTGTGCAATTCAGCATTCTAAATATCCAATACAAAAGTCACATGATGATTTGTTCTACTTTGTGTGGACTGTATAAAACTTCTAACCTGTAATTTTAAATGTTTTTTCAGGAAATGAGTGCAGTCAGAAAGTCATAGATTGTAGCATTCATAGTTTTTAAGTTATTTATAAAAACATCATAATTATGACAAAGCTAGATGGACATTAGTGTTTATTTTCATGCAGTTGTTCTCTGATAGTTCCTGGTTTTAAAACTTGTTTCATTAAATAAATCTATAATCTTATAACAATCTACAAAATAGATGGAGAAAATGCCCACCCCTTTTTACATCATATGGACCAGGAATTCTTTTTGTAAATTACTTAAGGTAACACCGTACAGGTTAGTGCCTAATAAATGCTTTTTAATGACGAACATTTCTATAATGCCTCATAAGATGCCATCTGATTTTTCTCACATTAAAATAACTGAAGTCACTTGTGAAACTTAAGTTATATTTTGCTGCATTTTAATTAACCTTCAACAGCTATTAAAATGGAATGTAAGTTAAATTTTGAAGGAAATAAATGTTTTCCATTTTTCATCTTGATTTATTTTCTGTATGAGAGCAGCTGTGTTTTTGATAGGTTTATGGTTTGCATGAATTAATATTTAAAGTGATCCAGGCCAATGCATGGCTACCGCTGTAAATCTTGATGTTTATTTCTGCCTTATAAAATTCTATCATGGCCTACCTGGAATTTAATATTCAGTGGACAAATTAATTGGTCCTCCACACAACATTTTTTAAAAGTAGATTGTTTTACAAACAAATTTAATTGAATCTTTTGTTTAGCTTGCCTCTAAGAACGTTTCCTAATAAAGCTCACAAAACTTCTCAGCAAATAAATCTCCCTTAAGTAGAAAAAAAGCTAGTTTTCATATTTGCTTACTTTGAATTAACAGCAACTTTCCATAGGTATATCTGCTCTGGCAAAGATATGAGCAGCATATTTAAAAATAATATAAATATTTTTATGTTTCGTGGCTCTAAAAGAGAAGCCATAAATGCAGAAAATACTGTTTGTTGTTTGTTTAATGACTTCAAGCTTCATTTTTCACATTTTCAAGTTTCTTAGGTTAAAAAAAAAGGCAGCCTTGGAAGGCAGCGACTATGGAAAACTAGTTCGCATTAAAGTTAAAGTCATATTTTCAGCTCCCTAAAAAAACCATTCCTGCTGAAACTGCTGTCGAAATTTTGAAGCTGCATGACTGGAGAGTATTGAACCTGTGGTGTTCGTAGTTTTCTCAGGTTTGTTTATCTTGATGTTCGATGCACTGTGTTTTATAAATAGTTATTAAAGTTGAGTAATATCATTTCTATGCAGTGTTATGTGTCATTGGCCTTTTGTGAATGTGCATGTTTTAAACTGCAAATTTTAAACATTTTGTCCTCTAATTGTTATTAAATAAACTTTACCATTACATAAAGAAAATTGTTGAAGTTTTGATTGCTAGTTTGAGAGATTATGTTGCTTTATAAAATCTTCAAATCCATAGTAACTACAACCTGAGATGGTGTATCCATTCTAACCATTTTTTAATGTATTTTGTTTACAGCCCCAGTGATATATAAAATAGCCCTTCATTGTAATCCAGCTAAATGAAACATGAAATGGAATATATTAACTCCAATTTGGCAAAAGGGGTAGTTTTGATAATTAAGCAACAGAATATTTTAGTAAAATGACTGTATGTTGACTCTTCAGTCAGAAGAACCTCCCAGGATTATCCCCATCACATATTTAAATAAGCTTGCAAGGCTGGGCGTGGTGGCTCATGACTGTAATCTCAGCATTTTGGGAAGCCGATGTAGGAGGATCTCTTACATCAATAATTCTTAACTGTGACTATATATACTTTCAGGAAGCTTTTTGGTTATCTCATGTTATTTCACTCTATCACCCAGACTGGAATGCTGGGCACACTCACGGCTACTGCAACCTCAGTAATAGGTTCAAGACCAGCCTGGGCAACACAGTGAGACCTCATCTCTACAAAAATAAAGTTAGCTGCATGCGGTGGCAGGAGGCTGAGGCAGAAGGATCACTTGAGCCCAGGAGGTTGAGTCTGCGGTGAACCAGAATCATATCACTGCACTCCAGCCTGGGCCATGAAGTGAGACTCAGTCTCAAAAAAAAAAGAAAGAAAGAAAAAAGCTTACAAATAATCAGCTAACTCATGGTTCTGTCCTTTCGTGGAGGATGAATTTTTTAAGTTTTCTAAACCCAACAAATTGTTTTAAGTTCATGAGAAAATGTGGCCAAGTTTAGCCAATAACATTTGAAGGAAGTAACCAGAAAATAATAGTAATAACCAGAAAATAATAATACAAGGAAGTATCAGAGATAAGAACATTAGCTTTATCAAAAATGAGTGTCCTTTGGTAAAAAGAGAAACAACAGAAGCTAAAATGTGGTGAACCGCTAGAATAGGATTTGTTCTTAGGCACTTGGGAGCAATTTAAGGAGACTGACTATATTAGACCAAGACCATGCATGCTTGGTCTAATATAGGTCTAAATAGGTGTGGGTCTCCATGCAAAAACACAGCACAGAACAATTGACGGAAATGTCACCTCTGAATCTATCACATAATTTCCCCACCTCACTTAAAATAAGCACCATGTTTCTAATGACCCCGTAGTTTAAGATGCCTTCTAACACCACCTAAGGAAACAGCAAGCTGGAACACATTGCCATAAATTCAATACATCATCCCCATTTCATGTTTGTTTTTGTATGCTTAGAACTTCTCCAACCTACAGCTTCCATTTCAGTAACATGGAGCCACCTCACTTTAATGAAGAAAGGTCTTCCTAACCTGAATAATTTCACAAGTAGGCTAATAAAAATTGTTGGAAAATATGAACTACTTACCACTCAGTTTTTATTACGTTGAAGTACAAATTACACAACGAGCAATTCCGATCAGAATTCCCTGTCAGAATAATCTCATTAATAGCTAATGTTTAATTGCTGTTTTATAATAGCCATGAACGTATAAAAATATGTTAACAGTTTGTTCCCTTAATAGTTTAATGTGCCTGTAAATTCTCATTTTTCCTGAACAAATACTAAATACACTTCTTAGACTATACAAAGGTAAACTGATTCCAACCCAATGAATCCAGTTCTTAGCTGTGACTATGTATACTTTTAGGAGGCTTTTTGGTTATCTCATGTTATTTCACTCTGTCACCCAGGCTGGAATGCAGGACACACTCACGGCTACTGCAACCTCAACCTGCTGGGTCATGCGAGTCTTCTACCTCAACCTCCTGAGTAACCAGAACTACAGGCGTGCACCACCATGCCCTGCTAATTTTTTGATTTATTGTAAAGAATTCTCACTAAGTTGCCCAGGCTGGTCTCAAAGCCCTCAACTCAGGCGGTGCTCTCACCTCTGCCCCCCAAAGTGCTGAGATTACAGGCATAAACCACTGCACCCAGCAGTTATTTCTCTATAGAGAGAAAATTTCCTGTGGATTCAAGTCGATCTGGAAAGTTTGCCACCATGAAAAGTAGCTGATAATAACACCAACAAAAAATAAACAGGAAAAAGAGGAGAGAATAATCTATCCATTCGGACAATTAAAAATGCAGTCTGTTCACAATGGAATGAATAACTACCTTAAAGCAAACTTACTATGTCAAATATACTTTCTATGGAAAATGGAAAAATAAATTTACAAACTATGAGTACCCACCAGGGTGGGGCAATGACAGGAAGCTGGCCAGTATCAAGGGGGCCATGGGCTGACAGGGACTGACTCTCAAACTGCAAGGCCATTTTCTGTTCCTGCCCCTAATCAGCAGTGATATCTGCCCACCCACAGCACTCAGCCTTTCATTTTTACTCTAGAACGTTTTATCTGCTTTGTTTTTTATCCTTAACTACACAGCTTCCTCCCCACTAGAACGCAAGTGATTTGAGACAGTGTCTGTGACTTCTTCTCAAGACAACCCTTATAATAAGATACTATTAATATCTTCTTTTTACAGATGAGAAAACTGAGACACAATGAACTTAGGTGGCCCAAAGTCACTCTGCTTTTAAGTAGTAACGCCAGAAAACTAACCCAGGAAGTGTTGCTCCAAAATCCATGCTAAATCCCCTCTGGTGTCAAGTAAAGAGAGAAATGTTTTTCATCTAGTATTTCTACATGCTTCATTTTAGTCCATATTCTCAATGTAGCCCAGACTCAATTTGACTATTACAGTCCCTTGCTATCTATAAGATATGTACAATATGCAACTAATCATTATTCCCCTGAATAGATTCTCTGAATAGGAGGTTAGATGTTTCCTGAGAAAATTAGGCCACATAATCCTTGTATCACAAAAAATTTAGAGTTTCACAGTAGACCCCCCTGGGTCAAATCCTGGCCCTACTGCGATTGTTCGTCCTGGACCTGGTTCTTCACCTTTCTGCCTTGATTTATTTATTTGCACAACAGGCATGATCATAGTCCCTTCTTCAAGGTCGTGAAGATTCAAGGATACAGTCCAGAAAGCATTTGGGACACGTGATGTTGAATGTTATCTACTTCTGGCATGACAACCTTTCAAAATGTAGACCTTCTATTGTTCACAGTTTTCATGGTTTGAGGCTGTTAGGACTTAAATTCCCTGTGAAAGGAATAAAACCATCGTCAGACACATTTCCCGGCATTCTGTCACCTGGTAGGTTGTGGTGAGCAACTTTGGGAAATCCCAGGTGATTTCATTTGACCCTTGCTACCTCATCTTCTAAAATGAAGACACGATCAAGTCCCTCTCCCTGTAAGATCCTTCTAGACTCCTCTTGTGTTTGGTATCTGCCCAAACACCATGGTTCTCAAGATCTCTGATGGGCCTACTTAGCTTTCCCTCACTCTTACTCCAGATTTTTTTTTTATTTTTTAGTTGGAGTCTCACTCTGTCACCCAGACTGGAGTGCAGTGGCCACTCCCGGCTACCGCAGCCTCGACCTGCTGGGCTCGGGCGATCCTTCTGCCTCAGCCTTCCAAGTAGCCGGAATTACAGGCACGCGCTACCACGCCTGGCTAATTTTTTGATTTATTGTAGAGATGAGGTCTCGCCAATTTGCCCAGGCGGATCTCAAACCCGCGGGCTCAGGCAATCCACTCACCTCGGCCTCCCAAAGCGCTGGGATTACAGACTCCAGATTCTTGTTTTTTGTTTTGTTTTGTTTTTTGAGTTGGAGTCTCACTCTGTCGCCCAGACTGGAGTGCAGTGGCTGCTCCCGGACCTGCTGGGCTCCGGCGATCCCTCTGCCTCAGCCTCCAAGTAGCCGGAATTACAGGCATGCGCTACCACGCCCGGCTGATTATTTTATTTATTGTAGAGATGAGGTCTCGCTGCCCAGGCGGGTCTCGAACCCGCGGGCTCAGGCAATCCACTCACCTCAGCCTCCCAAAGGTGCGGGATTACAGGCTGAGCCACCGAGCCCGGCTGACTCCAGATTCTTAATTGCCCGTTCTTCCTGGCTCCTGGGCACAGGCGAGACTTTCTACAAAGTCTTCATTCACTCTAACATGCACTTTGCTTATTTCCACACACCAGTCCTTCTTCCCGGCCCAGTCTTCTTCATTCAAATCTGATGTGTCTCTCAAAGCTCAGGGCCAATGTTAACCCTCCAGTATGAACCAGTGTTCTTTGAAGGTGCTGCCCATCCAACCAGCACTGCCCCAGAATCATGACTGTTCCCGAAATGCCGTCTTAAGTGTCAGTTTGTGGGTTCATCTTCTTTCTGTGAGCTCCTAGAGAACAGAAAAAGATAACACCCTCCCCCTTTTTTTTCAACTTTGCCTTTTATTCTTTTCCTTTTTTTATTTTTTTATTTTTATTTTTTTGAGATAGGGTCTCCTTTAGCCTCCCAGGCTAGAGGATAGTGCAGTCTTCACTCACTGCAGTCTTAAACTCCTGGACTCAAGTGATCCTCTTGTCTCAGCCTTTCGAATAACTGGGACCACAGGCACGAGCCCCCACACCCAGCTCATTTTTTAATTTTTGTAGAGACAAAGTCTCTGTTGCCCAGGCTGGTCTTGAACTCTTGGCCGCAAGTGATCCTGCCACCTCGGCCTCTCAAAATGCTGAGATTACAGGCGTGAGCCACCATGCTCAGCCAACCTGTAACATTTTATCGTAAGTCACTGTTGTCATGCTGGAGTCCCTAGTAGATAGGCTCCTTGAATCAGAACTCAGTTTTATCCATCTTGTATTCATCTCAACCCTAGCACAGCACCCAGCAAAAGATGACTGAATGGGACAATATCTAGAAATCTGTCCCAAGATGGCCTTATGGACCTAAGATTATAAATGACAATATCAGCTACATAGCTTCCAGTGGGAAAGTCAAAGACTGGTACTGTATGTCACCAATGACGGGAATGTGCTTTGATTCAGTGTCACTGAGTTCCATAGTTCAGTAAGGTACACAATCGCTCCTTAATTTTAAACGATTTATGACCAGTTAACTTGATTGATGGGGGAAACTTGCAGATGTGAGCTCTCTCTGAATTCTACCTTTGTCATTATTCCTAATGGACATAACCTAATGGACATAACCTATGGAGCAAATAAAAGTACAGACACCAGAGACACCTGACAAACTAGGTGGTTTTCACTGGAGGCAGTTCCACCCTCCGGAGGACATTGTGAGATAGAGTGGTGGGAATGTCTTTGGCATTCGAATCTTTGAGGGTGGAGGTGGGTGCGCTATTGGCTTTCACTGCGCTATTGGCTTCCACCAAGTGGGACTTGGTTATAACAGAGATCCCACAACCCATGGGACAGTCCACACAGCAAAGGCCAATGTGACTTAAGAATGACCCACCATTCCTACCAGTGGAAAAACTCAATCCCATTTCAGCTATAAAGTATTGTTTGCCCTGCTTTAGTATACGCGGTCTGACAATTAGGTTCGCGAACCATCCTAGAAAAAGTGCCACATACTTCATTGCTGAATGTCACTACGGTCACCTTCTAAGTACTCCCTTTAGGAAGCTATGCACTGATGCCAGCACCTAGTTCACTTGTCAAAGCAATTTTGGAACTCTCTTTCTGGAATGACCATCAGAGCTGTCACTATTTGTTGTGTGACAAATATGTTCATGAACTTGCCACCATGTGCTTACATTGCCAACACTGTACAAATAACTGTATTGGAACATCCTCCCTCCTCATCTGATCTGGCCCTCAATGACTTTTTTATTTACCTGAAGATAAAAGAAATATTGAAAGGATGACATTTGATGACATTCAGGACTTCAAGAGTAATACGACAACTGCTCTGATGGCCATTCCAGAAAATGAGTTCCAAAATTGCTTTGACAGGTAGACTAGGTGCTGGTATTGGTGCAGAGCTTCCCAAGGGGAGTACTTTGAAGATGATCATGGTGATATTCAGAAATGAGGTAGGAGTACTTTTTCTAAGACGAGTTCTCGAACTTAACTGTAGGACCACGTACACTAAATTTTTCAGATATACAACCACTAGGCAAATCAAAGCAGGTCAAACTGCTTTGTTTGGACAAATCACATTCACACCATCAGTGCGACTGTGCTGTTTTGCCAAGCTGACACATCTGCATCGGTCTGGATTCGGAACTGTCACAACGCGGTGATTCTGCATAAGGGAATGGTGTCTTGAGTCTTTTTTGTAAGACTGTCAAAGCCTTTACATTTTTGAAATAAGTTACTTTCTCGAAGTGGGGGGGTGGGTACAACATCAATAAGGGTACCTGATATCAAGCCAGGCAAAGGAGGACCAAAGGGAGGCCCAAATTTTGCCTGTACGATGACCACTTGTATACCTAATCATACCTAATCCTGAATTGTACACTACATCTTTAAAACAAAAACAAAAAAAATAAGAAAAGGCCCACAGAATCAAAAAGCAGTTTAAACCATTTGACAGTAAAAAAAAAAAGTTACTTTCTTTTCTTTCGCCTTTGTATTTACCATTAGGGCATTCCATTGATTTTCTTTTTAAGGATCTGTGTAGTGAGTTCTAGTATCTATAAATTTCATCTTAGGACAAAATGAAATATTTTCAACAACATATCTAGTCTAAGAAGAGCTTATTGGGTCCAACAGGTCTGAGAATCACTATGTTAGTGGCTGAACCTCTGGTTTGGCTACAGAGGTACCAAAATCTCAGAGCAGGCATTCCCTTTGGTGTTAGGATCTGTTGCAAACCAACTCCTTATGGACTATCTTCAAGACCTTGAGCAACTGACTTCACTCCTCTGTGCCTCAGTTTCCAAATCTATAAAATGGGAACTTATAATACCTCCCAGTTGGAGTTGTTCAATGGATGAAATAAGTTAATACATGTAAATACTCAGAATAGTGCCTGGCTCATAATAAAAGCTTAAAAGAAGTTAACTTAAAACCACAGAAAGAGCATGAACAAACATGGATAAAACCAGTCTGATGATGAAGGAGCATGTTCACAAATGTTCTTTCCTCAATTACTGTGAAAACCTTGTGAGACCTGGATGTCAAGCCACTTTCGATTCACATAAGGTAGGAGACTAGGAGTCAGGCTCCCTCTACCTTGAGTTGGGCAAAGACACAATGCCTTTGAACTTGTTTCCTCAAATGGAAAACAAAGGGGCAGAGTCAAACAATTCTTTTAGGGAAGAATTCCACCTCTAGTTCTCTGTGTTTGAAAAGAACTATTGGCCGGGCTCAGTGACTCAGCCTGTAATCCCAGCACCTTGGGAGGCCAAGGCGAGTGGATTGCCTGAGCCCGCAGGTTCAAGACCAGCCCAGGCAACTTAGCAAGACCTCATCTTTACAATAAATAAAATATTAGCCGGGCATAGTAGCGCGCGCCTGTAGTTCCAGCTACTTGGAGGGCTGAGGTGGAAGGATCGCCTGAGCCCAGGAGGTCGAGGCTGGTGACCGTGAGCATGCCACTGCATTCCAGCATAACAGAGTGAGACTCCAACTAAAAAAAAAAAAAAACTATTGAGGGTAGCACATGACAGTATGAATTCCTGTACGTCTGGGCTCCCAAACCACACCTGCAAGTGTTAGGTAGATCATCAGAAGGAGATGGACCAGGTGGGGAGGTCAGGCAGGTGGCCGGCAAAAGGCAGGTGTCCTGTCTGAAGAGGGCTGGCCTGACCCCATGGCAGAGCAGGACCTTGGTGCCACATCTTCAGTATATCATGAGAGGCCAGAAATCCAGACTCTCATGAGAAATGTCCCAATGTTTACATCTCGACAGGCCGAATGACACAGCTGAGACCTCTGTAAAACTTCACTTCCTCTGCTGATTTCATAAGGCTTGATGGAGAAAATAATTTTTTAATTTCGAAATATGAAAGATGTGTTAAGTAAAGACATTTCCTCTGATTGAGTAGCAAAGACTATCACCAAGAAGATGAAATGAAGCACTTTGAAGATTTCAAATAGAGCTCATGAAAATATAAAGTATTTTATTTATTCTAACCCAACAGGATACATGCCCAAATACGGGGTCATCAGACATGGAATTCAGTGGCACTTGAGATATGTAATATTAGATGATTATACCAATAGCTAGACTTTGAACTCCACAGTTATTATTAACATAAAAATTACAGTGTGACTACTAAATAATTAGTATGGTCAATGTGGCAAATGCATTAAATTACAAATCTTTACATTTGTACATAACTCATTTTACAGATAAATGTTTTAAGACCCAACTGTCCAACTTTCACTGAAACACTAAATGTTGCTGAACAAAAAATCTGCAATAAATATTCCCTCAGGTGGTCAGGGAAATACTTTTACACAGAATCTGTGTTACAATGAACGTCTGGGTATATATCTAAAACTTTAAACTTCTCAAGTGGTTATGGAAACCTTGTATTCTGGGGGAAAAAACATATTAAACAACATTTAGTTATTAATTTAAAAATTAAATGCTCTCCTCAGGCTAATATTATCCACTGGGTAGGTTACTCCCCAAACCATAAATAAGTCGCTCACTTCCCTCTCAAGTGTACTTAATCGTTAATTTAAGTGCACCTTCCATAATTATAATTAGGTGTGTTTCCTTGCTTATTTATGCATATATTTCTATCATAACTCAAAAAACAACTGATACGAAAAAGGGGCATGTAGCCTTTTTCTTAGCAGTATAACTGAATTGTCCAATAAAACATTGTCAGCCAATCTGCACCTGTAAATCCAAACCACTGCATATTTTGAATAAAAGTAGCATACATCGAAATGTAATGGTCACCACGTTTGCAAAACCAGGAAGCAATCTCTAGCTCAGCCACCCTCTGATTGGAGCCAGGAACCTTGAGATTGGCAGGTGCCATGTTTTCCTAGCACGTTCCTCCATGACACTGATCAGTTACAGAGGAATGTTCTCAGCAGTGTGTATGGCCAGGGCCCCACCTGCCCGCCCTTTTACCGCATGGTGGATTCACGGCCATGGCCTGTCAACTGGAACTGAAGTCTGGACAGCTCTTTCCGGGCAGTGGGGGCTCCTGCTGGAGGGGGTAAGCGAAATATTGGGGTGACACCAGGAATCCAGATGGCTGGGCCAGGTGGATGGGGTGGCCTGTGGTGTAAGGTGGGGGTGGGGAGGGCACCAGGCAGCCTGGCTCAGCCCTGGTGAAGGAGAACCTGCGGATGGAGCCGCCTGTGGAGCTGGAGCTGGTGGCCGTGCTGGACTGCCGGGATGGCGCCCTGGGGCTGGTAGAGGTCAGGATCATGGGCAGGGTCTCCGTCTGATAGCTGCGGAGCGAGAAGCGGATCGGCTGCTGTGAGGGCTCCTTGGGTCTCAAACAAGTGCAGCAGTAGATTGCCACGACTGAGCCCAGGATAATGAACGCAATGAAGATGGAGCCGACGATGAGGAAGGGAACGTATACAGGCTCTGAAAGGCAAACACAGACACACGAGGGAGCTCAGACTAGGGTCTCCCAGATGCCAACGCTCTGAAGGGTAACAGGTGGCAGACTGAGGAGGACCACTATGGTGGGCTCGGCTTTTCAGATCCTGTTTCTGGCAAACTCCAAAGTGCAAACTGCGATGGTGGAATATTCTAGCTACTCCTAGCAGGGAGAAAGCAAACGGATACTGCGGCCTCTGTTAGCAATTAGCCGCTATTTTGCACATCTGGAACCTGGAAAAGAACAGAAACTATCCTCCTGTTCATGCACTGGAGGGAAAGGGTGAGCTTTCGGAGTTACTGTTAACTCTTGGTTTAAACACAGGTTTCAGTAGTTGGCTCACAGTGGGGCACTGAGAGCCCGGGCCCCTCTCTTAGGCTGGCGATCCATCTCCCATTCGAGAATCTCCAGTCGAAGCAAAAAGAACCAGGCCTGGAAAGAAGACTACTCCCCACTCAGGAGGTTTACGAGACCCCAGAAAGAATAGGGTAACAAAATCTACAGTGGGCCCCAATTTACTGTCTCCTTCTGCACCCACATCGTCAACTCTAGCTGCTGCTTTCCAGAAAAGATGTGGGTGCCACACCTGTGTCCCTCAATTCCACCCAAAGTCTGGGACGTTCAGACTGGACTTTAGAGAGATTACAATGCAGTTCTTGAGGTCAGCGGCCAGACTTTCTGTAAGAGCATCCCCCAGACAGAGCAAATTCCAGTTTCTTTCTTTCTCTACAAGGCAGACACAAAACGTCCCACCACAGAGACATCTCCTGGGGAGGTCTTCAGGTCCTTTTCCCTGTCTGACAGAGCCACACCCAGATGCAGCCTCCAGCTTAAAGGCAGTAGAATGAAAAACTGCATTGACAAAGGCCCTACTGTGTGCCTGGCTCTTTCTTATCCGTTATCTGATTCAAGTCTCATGGAAACCCTGTGAGGTGGGCGTGATAGGCTCTATTTTCTAGATGTAAAAATATATCAGATGGGTGCGGTGGCCTGTAATCCCAGCACTGTGGGAGGCTAAGACGGGAAAGCTGCTTGAGCCCAGGAGTTTGAGACCAGCCTGCGCAACACAGCAAGACCTTGTCTCTAAATAAATAAATAAATAAATAATCAAAAAGTTAGCCAGGCACAGTGGTGCGTGCCTGTAGTCCCAGCTACTCGGGAGGCTGAGGAGGGAGGCTCACTTGAGTCCAGGAGGTTGAGACTGCTGTGAGCTGCAGTGCCACTGCACTCCAGCCTGGGCAACACAGTGAGATCCCGACTCAAAGAAAAAATAAACTTTAAACGTGAAGAAAAAAAAAAGAAACTTTATCAGAATGTGTTGACTTTCCCAAAGACACAGCCAGTGGGTGACAGGTGACTGTCAGCTACCGGATCCTGCGTAAGATCTTCAGGGCACCACCCAAACCCCCACATTCACCGGCAGTCATGTGGGCGGCAAGACCAAGGTGCATAACCACAGCTCACTGACACTATACTAAGCATTCATACCATCTCACTGCATCAACAACTTTTGACAGCAAGACGCCCATTTCAGGATGGAGAAGAGACCCCAAGCCGCTAAGCAACTAGCCCAAGTCACACCACGGGCCAGCGACAGAGCCAAGGTCCATCAGAGTTTGCTGATCTGCTTGATGAGACTCAGTGAGAACGAAGGCTGCCCCTCTGCCGGCTGTCTCTGGGTGTCAGAGCAGAGCAGGAGGTCGGGAAAGGACGGTCCCGGGAGAGCGGGTGAAAAGTCTGCATTTTTCTGGCAGACCAGGTCAGCCTCCCTCCCTCCTTTTCCCTCTCCCTGGCTGGCTCTCTCCCTCTTTCTTCCTCTTCCTCTCTTCCTTTTCCTGTCTCTCTCCCTCTGTCTGTCTCCCTCTTCCTCTCTCTCTTCTGTCTCCCTCTCCTTCATGTCTTTCCCTCTCCCTCTGCCTCTCTGCCCCTCTCCATCTATCTCCCTCTCCCTCTCTCTGTCTTCCTCTTTCTCGTCTGTTTTCTCACTCTCCCTCTGTCTCTCTCCCTCCATCTCTCCCCCTCTCTCTGTCTCTCTCCCTCTCCGTCTCCCTCTCTGTCTCTCTCCCCCCCTCTGTGTCTCTCCCCCTCTCTGTCTCTCTCCCTCTCTGTCTCTCTCTGTGTCTCTCTCCCTCTCTCTGTCTCTCCCTCTCCGTCTCTCCCTCCCTCTGTCTTTCTCTCTCTTCTCTCCCTCTCTCTCTCCCTTCCCTTTCTCTGTTTCCCTCTGTCTCTGTCTCTGTCTCTCTGTTGCCCAGATCAGAGTGCAGTGAAACGATTATGGGTCCCTGCAACCTCCAATTCCTGAACTCAAGCAACCGCCTGCCTGCCTCAGCCTCCAAGTAGCTGAGACTACAGGCTCACGCCACCATGCCCGGCTAACTTTTAAATTTTTGTAGAGTCAGGTGTCTCGCCATGTTGCCCAGGCTGGTCTCGAACTCCTGGCCTCAAGTGATCCTCCCGCTGGGTTTGCAGGGGAGAGTCACCGCGCCAGCCGAGTCCCCTACTTTCCACGGTGCGTCTTTTCTCCAGAAACTATGTCCCAGATCCTCTAGGCTGGACATGCTGACCCCCAGATTAGATCCCTCGCGAGCTCTAATGCAGCGCAGACCCCTTTTCTCGGGCCACCGGCGCGCGGAGAGGCGGCGCCCGGGCACCACTAATGGCCTCTGCAGCCGCTCGGTTCCCGGGGCCTCTTCTTGCCGGCGCGGAGTCCCGGGGTGCCACCGCGCTCAGCCCGCCCGCTCCTCCGGTTTCCCGGCCGTAAAACCGTCGCCTGGAGCCCTGAAGGGTTTCCCTGATGTTCCGACTCAGGTGGAAAACTTCTTTCCAAGGTGTAAATTTCCTCTGCCGGGTCGTGATTTATTCTGCTCAGGAGGGAGCGGAAATTTGACCCGTGTTTTCCGACGTGAGAATAGGGGGCGGGGAAGCCCCTGCGACCCCGGCTTCTAAATCTCCACCCCCAAGACCTGGGCAATTCGGAAAGGCGTGACAAGGGGGGGCTGGGCCAGAGAGGGTAATTCCATGCAGAGAATTGGAAGGAAGTCGGGAGGACAGGGCAGAGGCTCAGAAACGCCACGGAAGCGCAAAAAAGAAAGAAAAGAGTGGCCGAAGTTCCTTGGCCCTGCGCGGTTACAGACTAGGGTGCGACCAGAGTCGCGCTTCCTCGCCTCGGCCTTTCCAGAAGCTCCCGAGGGGGTCCCGGCGCGCGGCGGGGCGCCCTCGCAGCACCCCGCCCCTCCTCCCAGGGCCGCCAGGCCCCAGCCCCGCGCGCCCAGCCGTCCCTGGCAAACTTGCCCTTGCCCGACGCGCAGACCGCAAGTGGCGGGAAGCGGGGCTGCAAAGGAACCGGAACCCTGGCCGGACAGGCGACCACCCTCTCCGCCCTTGAGCCCCCCACCAGGCTGTGGTCCCGAGAAGGCCTGGCGCGCCCTTGCCGCGCGCTCACACGGCGGGCGGCGGGCCGGGTTCTGCCCCGGGAGTATCTGGTCGGGAGGGGGTCTGTCCGGTCGAGGGAGCCTGCCGGGGAAGGGGTTTCCCCGGGAGGGGATTGCTCGGGAGGGGATCTGTCCAAACCGCGTCGGCCCGCGGAGGGGAGGGGATCTGCACGGAAGAGGGGGGTCTCCCGAGAGCTGTCTGCCCGGAAGAGGATCTGCCCCTGCTGGGATCTGCCCGAGGAAGGGTGATCTGCCCAGGAGGGGGTTTCCCTGAGAGGAGCCTGCCCAGGAGAGGGGAGTCTGCCCCGGAGGGGTCTGCCCGGAAGCGGGTCAGCCCGGGAGAGGGGTGTCTGCCCGGGAGGGGGTCTGTCCAGGAGGGGGTTTCCCCGAGAGCGGTCTGCTTGGGAGGAGGTCTCCCGAGAGGGGTCTGCTCAGGAGAGGGGGGCTGCCGGGAG